TGCTTCAGTCCTTGAGGAAGCTTCCTGGCAAAGTTCTCCTTAGAAAAGACCTGTCTCCCAGTACTGCCTGAGTTGTTACCGTGCGGACTGGCAGGCAGCATGGGGTCATCAGTCTGCGCCCAGCTCATTAGTAAATAGGACTCTGGGTTGTTAAAAAGGACCCTGGAGGTGATCTTACCCAACTTCTTCATTTTACAGGCAAGAAAAAGGCACATAGAAAAGTAAAGCCAGGATACCTGCCTGCATGTGGCCAACCCAGGTTTGATTCCCAGTAGCACAAATGGTTCCCCAAGCATGCCAGAAGTGACCCCTGAACACTGCTGGGTGTGACCCCAAAACAAAACAAACAAAAAAGAATCACTGGGAGGGGTCCCGGGCTTCCTGAGCACAGCTTAGACCACCTTTACCCCAAAGGAAAAAAAGAAAAAATCAGAATTCCTTAACATGTAGCTTGTCTTCAGAGAAGCAAAGGGGAGAACCAAATTACCCACAGCTGAGAAATGCTTCAGGAGAAAGTGGCCACCACAATGTGGGTATTTGTTTTCAGAGAAATATTTTATATGTCAGGAAAACTGATTAGTGCATTCCGTGTTCCCTAAATACTGGGGATGCTAGAATTCAGGGGAATTGTATAGGCAAGGATGAAATTGGGGGAGTTTGGGGAAACTTTCTGTTCAACAGAATAAGGTAGATTCCAGCAGGACGCTCAGTGATTTTTTTCCCTTTCCCTACAAAGTGGGTAGTAAGTCAATAAGCATGGAAACCTATGGATTAAGTCATCCCTAATACTGATTAATTGTCAAACAAGCTCTTAAAAATTAAGATTTTCTGGGGTTTGGTGCTGCCAGCAGGTCAACTTGTACCTGCGGGGCGAGTGCATCAGCAGCCTGCTGGTGTCTTCAGGCTTCCTGACACCCCAAACTTGCTGCTGTGTCTTTGACCAGACCCAACAACTTGGGGCCAAGTTTACCAAGAAATTAAATGATGTACAAAATTTATGTATGTAGGAGTCACACCCACAAATCACCTCTGGCTCAGCTATACAAGTTCATTTATTGGCCTTATTTCAGAGACCCATAAATCTCAAAAGTGATCAAAAACCACAGTTAGGACCAGCAGTGCAGTGTGCTGTGGGTGAGTGGGTGCACCCTGCAGGGCATATGCTAATAGTCTATTTCTCTGGAAAAGATGGAAACAAGGGCCATGACCCAGAGACAAAAGAATCTTCGAATAGAGCAGCTTGCTGCAGAGATGCCTTTGGACTTTAAGCCAGGCCGACTGCAACGGGGTGCCTCAAATGGGGTCAGGCATCATCTCTCTACCTGCCCCCTAAAAACCCCTGCAGCCGCAAACTTCCAGAACCCAAAGAGAAGTGTAGGTATGTGGGTTCAGTGATGGCAAACTCCAGGCCTCAAGTGATAGGGCATGGACTGGTCCCTCTCATCCCCCCTCCAGCCCTCCCCCATCCCCCATTCTGCTTCCCTCTCCCTTTCCCCTCCCACCCCCTCCAATCCCCATGGGACCCTGGGGTTCACACCCACAAACTGCTGCTACTTAAGCTCCTTAATGGCCATGATCCAGAGACACACAAAGGAATCCCCAAATCGAGCTGCTCTCTGCAGATTTCTCCAGACCCTAATTGTCTGGAATTTTGGAGTTCCTAGAGCACACAGCTGCTCTTGCTATTCATAACAAGCAATACAAAAGAGAGTATGGGGAGATGGTCTGCCCTAGAGGCAAGGGGAGAGGCAGGTTGGGAGGTATTGGGGACCTTGGTGGTGGAAAATGTTGCACTGGTAGAGGGTTGGGTGATCGATCATTGTATGACTGAAACTTAAGCAGGAAAACTTTGTAACTGTATCTCACAGTGATTAAAAATAATAATAATAAATACGATTAACATTCTGAATAAAAATAAAGTAATGTGGAGTTCAGGCCCAATTCAATCAGCTTAATCAATGGCTAAATAAATAACAGTATTCCTACATTAAAAAAATAAGATTTTAAGATCTGAACTGTATTTATCTGTCTTATTATGCATACAGGCATAAATACAAACATATGCATGAGGTTGAAAGCATGGAATCTATAAAGCAGCCACATCTCCTACTTCTGTTAGGCAACGTATAGTAATGGCATTTGGAAAGGTACTTCCAGGAGTAGAGTCTCCAGCCCCCGCACCTGGCTGTCCTCACCAGGGCCCCTTGGAGAGGGGTGGGTTGAGTTTCCCTCCCTGCCACGAGCAGAGCCCCAGCAGCTGAAGACCTCTGGAACCAACCACAGCCATGCTTAAGACCACTCTCCACACGTTCGGATGAGCCTCACACATGAAGGAACCGGCAGAGAAGCCCAGGCATGTGGGACCCAGAGCTAAGATCTCCAAGTTTGCTCAGATCGGGAGTGGGCCTACTCCACCCAGATCCCCCATCTTCCAGTAGCTAAACAGTTACACCCACCAACTGCCCCTGGCACCGTGTTATCCCATCAACGGCCAAGACCCAGAGACTATAAAACCCAGCTCCCAAAAGTGTGCAGCTGGACATTTTTATTATCTAGTTCTTACTCTTGGAGAACCCGGCAGGCGACTGAGAGCATCCTGCCTGCATAGCAGAGTCTGGCAAACTCCCCGTGGCGTATTTGATATGCCAAAACCTAGTAACAATGATGGGTTTCATTCCCCTGACCCTGAAAGAGCCTCGAATGTGGCACTTTCTAAAATCTCAGGGCTAGGACGAAGGGGACATTACTGGTGCCTGCTCAAGGAACTTGATGAACAACAGGATGACAGTGATACAGTGATACTTCCAGGAGAGGTATCTGTGTGATGCTGCCCAATTGCTTGACTACCTGTCCTTGACATTATTCTCTTTAAGCTTTTTAAATTTACCTTAAGAAGAGAGCTCTATACAGTAGCTGAGAGCTATTTTCAGGAAGGTACACAGGCTCAAGACACCATTAATTCTACTATTTGTGTTAAAATTGACAAAGAGTGGGTAGCAGGGATACTCCTCATTCAAGGAAAGAGCTATGCTTTTGTTCCAACAGATAAAACCCCCACCACAAAACTTTGAGTTCTATTATGTCTCATCAGGAGTCAAATTCATCCACCTGACTTGGACCTCAAACCGCCAGAGACTCCTCAAACTTCCAAACTCCAGGTCACAAGGAAATCAGGAAGAATCAGCATCAGAGGACCTGTCGGGAAAGTTCTCTAGCTCCTTTATAGGACTGCTCCGCCATTCTCAACAATTTGTTAGACTTCTAATTGAACCTGTCCAGAGACTCACTGTTGTGATCACTACTGCTGCTGTTGCAGGAACAGCTCTTCAAGCCTCATCAAGACAAACCTCATAAAGATGCATGATTTTTCAAGACATGGCAAAATGAATCTCACCACCTCTGGACAGTGCAGGCTGTCAACCATGATATTGAATGATGATTGGGCACTTTCTAATAAAAACTGCTCTGGGTTCAGTGATGGGATGAAATTTCAGTGTTTTATGTTTTGCAAACAGAAAAGGGAGAGATGTTGGATAACATTGGGTTGTCCTTGCTCCTCCCACAGGGAGCTTAGGTTTACTGAGCTACTCCCACAACAGTGTCCCTGAGGCTCACCCAATTCCTCAAGCACTAATAATCCTTTATTGCCTTTCTCTTTCCTTTATGTCACTTGCATGATTTAGCAATGCCCTTTTTGTATAGACACAGGAAGACAGTTCATGCTATGCATTTGTAACATGGGAGTTAATTGACTCCTAAATAATATTTACTCCTGGACATCCATATTTACTTGACATAATTAAATTTCCCTTAATTACTAGCACTCAAAAGTAGGGTTCCAACAAAGAGACTGGATGGGCCTAGAGCAAGCTACCCTGGCATCGAAAGGGGACAAGCTGGGCACCATAAGTATAATAAGGTAAGAGCATGGTCAAGGGACAAAGTCTGTCATGACCCAAAAAGAAGTAACTGAATAAGGACCCTGCTGGTGTTAGAAAAGACCAACCAGTCCTGAGGACTGTAGTCTGGGATATATAGCCAGATGTCCCCAGGAAAAGCCAACCTTATAGCTTAACATATCTCTTACTGTGTTCATACAAAATGACTAGAAATATTATAAGAAGTAAATTTACTATGATTGTTTAAATGGATTACTAGCTGAGGAAAGGAGAAAGCAACACACCCTGGATGGAATCCTGCCCTTGATGGGATCTCCTAGTAATCTGGAGTGCTGAACCCTCATGAGGTTTTGCCCTTGAGTTAATTTCCTAGAACTTCCCCTGAAGGAGGGGCTTTACCTCTGTTGTTATGACAATGTTCAACCCCACCTATGTGTACCCCCATCCCCACCCTTCATTTCTATATAACTATGCTGTAAGGGGAGAGGGGTCAATGATGAAGATAAGGACTAGACTTTGAGGTCTACGAGGAGACTAGGATGATGGAACTATGATGACTAAGACTACAAACAAACTATGACTACGATTGTGCCATAGGAGGACAGATCAGACTACACTGAGGAGGAGAGAGAAATAAACTGACTACCAACAAGCTTAGGACCCAGGCCCTGTTTCTTCATTCCCCTGGTCCTTTGTCCATCCGTCCATCCATTCGTCCATCCGACTGTTGCTGTGGGCTTGCCAGGGGGAACGTTTCTCGGCCACTGAATGCTGGAGTCCTGCATGCCCAAGCTTTCTTCTGAAACTCATATTTATAAGAAGCTAAGTGTCTGACTATCCTTGTATCAGTCCATCACAAACCACACCTAAATGTAGCCTATCTTGGTTTATTAATAAGAAGGGAGCTCAGTGTCAAATTGTTTAATTATCTTACAGTAGACATAAGACAAAAGAGTTGAGATTTCATAATGCAGTGCTTCAAACCTGCCAGCTTCCTCCTGAAACAGAAGATCAGGCTAAAAAATAATGAACACACAGCTCCTACAACCAACATCAGCCCTGGTTTCAAAGTTCCCGTTAATTGTGATGTTCTGATGTTACCTATTTCTCTTCTTCCGGTGTTCTCGGTTAGAATTTTCTGATTCACTACCACTGCTTGTATTACAGCGTGAGCGCGACCTGGAAACATAATGAGAAGAGCAGAACAGAACTTATGCACAAACATTTTAGGGAGGTTCATATTGTTTTTTTTAGACTCAATCTTGCCGCTGAACTACTAATCCAAACTTAAACTGCCTATTATCACTCTTCCAGTCATTGCCTGCCAGTTCTGCCAGATATCTGAACAAGTATAGAAATGTGAAAGCAGATTAAGGCAAATGTCACTATGCCCTCAGCAAAAAAAAAAAAAACAATTAATAAATGCAAACACTTCCAACAGAACTCTGCCATGCACAGCTCAACGCTGCTGTAATGAACAGAGTGTGGGGGGAAGGGGATATAAATGCATACACAGTTCAGTCACATTCCACCCGGCCTCACCCTTTCCCAACTGAGTATGCATTTACTTCTCCTCTCCCCTCACAAATGTGGACTGGTCACATGACTGAGTACACCCACTCAGCAAAGCAGAAGGAATACTCTGACCGGCCACCACCTAAAGACACGAGAGCCATGTGGAGAGAGCACAGAGAGACAAGTTGTGGCACCAGTCATTCTGCCGCCATGCAAAATGTGAGGAAAATGGCCTCGTATATTCCAGCCTCAGCCACCATCCGAATGCAGCTGGAGACCAGCAAAACCAGCTCAGGAACTTCCTGTGGCAGAGAGTCACCTAAGATCTATTTATCCTTGTTGCGCAGGGCCACCAAGAAGGGTTTTCACACAAGAAGGAGAAAAAAAGAACCACTCCTAAAGATGCTACAGAATGAAATCTAGCCGAAGGCGAAATTGATACATGAAAGTTAAAATATATTTACAACATTTTAGGGTCCCTGAGCAACAGCACACAGGGTGTTTGCCTTGCATGTGGCCAACATGGGTTTGAACCCTGGCATTCCTGAGCCCCGCCAGGAGTGATTCCTGAGTGCAGGGCCAGGAGCTAAGTCCTGAGCATTGCCAGGTGTGGCTCAAAAACAAAACAAACAAAAGAGTAAAAGGTATTTACAATATTTTGAAAGTAACCACCATAAAATAAACAAAAATGTCCTTTTCTCCTATCAACTCTGAGTAGTGAAGATCTGCTAATCCTTTTGCCCTTCCCTGCTCCATCTGAGCCTTAAAAAAAATTACCTCCTCCTTTGCTTTAGATCAAAGTCTTCACCACTGTTGTGGGCTTTCCTATAGAAAATGAAAAATAAAGAGATTAAGAAAAATATGAAATTGTCAACTGGCCAAGAAAAGTACACCCAAACAATTTCACTTCAGTCACTACACATCCCCCAAGCCCCACCAGGAGTGATAACCTTCTGCACTAAAATCATCTCTCCTGTGATGGTGCCAGTGAAAGGGCCCCAAATCCCTTCTCTGTATTTCACAGGAAGCCGATCCAAAACCTATTTCCATATAAAGCCATTAAGACTGGATTCAGAAGTTTAATGTTCAAACTATTTCCAGTAATTCATTTGGGGTGGAAAAATGTAAATGCTGGCATATTTTAGTAAAAAGTCATTTTCAAATGTATTAAAATCAAAGCAACCATCTGCTCAACATACATAACTTTTATTTGGGGAATGCTCACATATTGCTCTAATGTTCATGAAAAAGTAGCAAAATCTATTAATTAATAATAGTCATATGGTGACAATTTTTTTTTCTTTTTGGATCACACCCATCAATGCTCAGGGTTTACTCCTGGCTCATGCACTCAGGAATTACTCCTGGTGGTGCTCAGGGGACCATATGGAATGCTGGAATTGAACCCGAGTTGGCCGTATGCAAGGCAAACAACCGCTGTGCTATTGATCCAGCCCTGGTGACAAATTCTTAATACATTAGTAGTTTCTCTCACCTGTCACTCCTTCTACACACACACACACACACACACACACACACACACACACGAACTTGATGCAATTCTCAGTGGGATTGCCTGTTCTAAGGGCTGTCGCCTGCTGAGGAAGAGGCAGGAAACCCTATTTAGAGGCTCTATTTAGGTGCAGCTTCATTTACCAGAGGTTTAGGTATGTCTTCTGATCCCACCTGTGGCCCAGAGTGTCACAGCCATCTCTCTGGGCCTTTGTCTGCTAATCCGGCAAGTAAGGCATGGAGAAGGCAGTCAGGCATAAGGACTCTCCATGAGCTGTCACTTCATGATCCCCCAGCACCGCCCATGGAGTCTTTAAGAAAGGCATTCCCTAGATTTCCCCGGGGTCCCATGGGAACAGCAGCTTGGGTGGGATTTACAGACAGCAGTGAAAGGGAATGGCTGTGCTCCTGGCGGCATGAGCAGTGTCCACGGCTGCTCTCCTGCAAAGTGGCATTACCTCTGGGGAGCGCTCACATGTGGGGCCTGAGGGTCCCAGCCTCACTCCTCTCCCAGGATCTCTCAGGCCGACTTGACCTTCTGTCCATCTCTCCTACTCACACTTGGGCATCAAAACTCAGCACTGACCCTCTCTGCTGGAAAGGCTCAGTGACTGAATGACACAATACTACTGTGAGGATCAGGGAAGCATAGCAAGTGATCGCTCAGAACGGGGACTCATGCCAACCAACCCATGATTCCATCTAAACTGTGAGAGTGAGAAAACTGTGAAATCTTCAAATCACTAGTGGCCATGTCTAGCTGGTCCTTCTCATTACTATCAGAGTGATAAGATATCCTTTCTTCCTAAATGATGGTTGGATGGTAAGATATCTTTTCTTCCTAAATTGGTCCGGGATGGGAGATGTGTGCTGAAAGTAGATAAAGGACAAAACATGATAACCTCATAGTATCTGCATTGCAAATCATAATGCCCCAAAGTAGAGAGAGTGTATGGGGGAAACTGTCTGCCATAGAGGCAATGGGAGGGTGGGAAAGGTGGGGGTATACTGGGGAGATTGGTGGTGTGGAATGTGCACTGGTGGAGGGATGGGTGTTTGATCATTGTGTGATTGTAACTCAGACATTAAAGCTTGTAACTATATATCACAGTGAATCGATGAAATTTTTTTAAAAGATCCTTTCTTCTTGCCCATCAAAGAATTGCGGTAAAATTGGACCTGGTTTGAATGGACTGCAAATAAGGCTGGGAAATTGCTGAAGGAGAAACAAATAGGGGCAAGGAAGTACATGTCAGGGCACAGGGAGGGAAGGGGTCTGCTTCCCAAGCCACAGAGTGAGAGGAAGAACCTGAGTGATCACTTGGACACAGCCTGAGCTTTCTGTGAACTCTGAAAGTCACTGGTAAAATGCCACTGCTGGGGTGCCCAGAGCTCCACTGCAGGCACCGGAGGAGCGCCGGACTGCTTCTGGGGGCCACTCCGTGGTATTCCTCTCTTGGACTAATTTTAATGCCCATCCATTTTTACAGAAGCATTCCAAATTTCTAGATATAAACTTTTATCTTTAAATTAAACACACAGCCAGGCAGTACAGTGGGTACGGTGTGTGCTTGCACTATCTCCTGAATTACATGATCCCAGAGTGCAGAGTCAGGGATCATTTGTGTAGCCCCCAAACAAACAAACAAACACACACAAATACAATCACACAATCTGATTTGCTGGATAAAAATTTACCAGAATTCATCTCTCTGTGCTCTGAAGGGCATTTCCTGACTAACAACATGAGTCTGAGGAACAGCAGTCTTAACCTCAATAATCTGTATGCACAAACATGATTTTGTCTTGTTAGAAATACTTTATGTATCAACTTTTCAATAATGTAAGATATACTATTATATGCTATGCATACTATACGGGTGCTAGTACATATTATATCCTAAACATATTTTTTAACATGTGAATCTCCTTTTGGACCAGACCCAGCTGTGCATGGGGTTACTCTGGTCACTGAGTGACGATTACTATGTCTATTTAGCAGAAAACAGAAATGGATGCTGTTTGAGAAAGGGTTCCCAGGGGGCTACAGGAAGTGACCCAGGCGGTCTCAGCATGTCCAGAAGGCCATTCTGGGCCTGTGTCCACACTGTCAGTCAGTCAGTCATCTGCACTCAGGAATCATACCCGGCAGTGCTTGGGGGCCATATGGGATACTGGAAGTGGAACCTGGGTTAGCCTCGTGCAAGACAGACACCCTACCCCAACATGGTCTTAATTAAAATACAAAAAACAAGTTTCTTCAATAGCTTATAAAATTATTCTTTGAAATGCTGGTTTTTAAGACAAATGCTTAGAGATCCTTTTGTTTAAATTCAACAATGCTGACAACCAGTTTCCTGTTATCTTGGGAGACCAGCAATTGCATCACCAGGAGCCAGTGCTGAAAGTGAGAGGGCAGAGACCAGGATACCACATCAGGTGGCCTCTCACCTTCTCCTGGTCGGACGTGCGGAGTCCTCACTCCCACAGGACGGGTTCCGGGGCCGTGTGGCAGGGAACTTCGGGGACCTGGTGCGGTCACTGTGGATGTTGTAGAGTCCACTGGAGAGGAAGAATAATGGTCAGCAACAGCAAGAGAGTGACTGGGGGTCCTCCCTGTCCTAGGAGCCAGGGAAGCTCCAACTACACAGCTGGTACTTCCAGGGGCTATATGATTCGCTGAGGGAAAAGTAAGAACTGGCCAATGAAATGATAAAAATCCTTATTTGTGCAGGAGCAGGTGTGTCTCCCTGGCCTTCAGCAGTCACATATGAACATAACACATGCCCCACTTACTAGACTCCGTTTGTGGGTGACAGACCACATGTGCCAGGTGCTACCTGAACTGAGGCTCTACCCGCTGCCACTGTTAGAGCTCACCTTCACATCACCCTAGTCACTGAGTGACGATTACTATGTCTATTTAGCAGAAAACAGAAATGGATGCTGTTTGAGAAAGGGTTCCCAGGGGGCTACAGGAAGTGACCCAGGCGGTCTCAGCATGTCCAGAAGGCCATTCTGGGCCTGTGTCCACACTGTCAGTCAGTCATCATTAGTCTGGATTAGGCTTGGGAGTTGTGAAGAAGAAAAAACCCCAAAACTAACTTACAAACATTGCTGGGTTTTTCTAGAATCACCAGAATCCACCAGCTAGTTTTCAGTCTAATTTCAGTTAGCGTACCAGCTAGTTTTCTGTGAAACTAGGAAATGGGAGCAGTCAGCAGTCAGCATCACTAGTCACTTAGTTCTCAGAAACATGATATTACTGTCACGCCTCACAATGACTTTCCATCCATTGTCTGATCTGAGCTAGGTTTCCCCCCATCTCCCCCACAAAGCTCCTCATGGGACATGTCCTGCTGATTCCTGCTTGAGGATTTCTGGGTCCTGCTGTTTTTGGAGCTGACTGTCAGGGCCAACACTGCATTCAGTACTTATTTACTGAGTTGCCGCTGCTAACCCCATTCCTATTTTCTCCTTCACAACAACAACCATCTCTTTACCTCTGAGGACCATTTTCTTCCCATGGTGCATGTGACTTGCTTCTTTGGCTATCAGGGCTATTTTCATTCTTTGCTTTCTTACAGCTGTAATTTTTGAAAAGTACACAAAATAAGTTAATGACAAAATTAAAGTATGCTAAATCACATATTTATTTATACAATTATTTAACAGATATTCAAAGATGTCTGGGTGTGTTTTTTTTTTAAACCCGTGATTCACTCTAAAAAGAAGATGAAGAGACTCCCTAAAAATCTATATGTATATACATTTTCTCTCTCAGGGCTGGAGGCACTTGCCTTGTGGGGCTGCAGCAACAACACAGCGGGTAGGGCGTTTGCCTTGCATGTAACCCTCCTGGATACAATGTTAGGCACCACATATGGTCCACTGGGCACTGCTGAGAATAATTCCTGAGTGCAGAGTCAGGAGTAACCCTTGAGCAATGCCAGGTATGGCCCCAAAACAAACAAAAAGAATGTAAAATAACAATAACCACCAAAGCATTTATTTGTCTTGCACATGGCCTGTTATCATGCATGGTTCCATGAGCACTGCCAAGAGTGATCCCTAAGCAAAGAATTAGGAGAAAGACCTAGGGAAGAACTACATTTCCTCCCCTCTAGTTATCCAGCTCTAAGCCAGGAGAATCTGTGATCAGCTATTAAGAAACTTTCCAAGAGTCCACGTAGGACAGGAAGGATAACTGAGTCAGATAAGGCAGGGAGCCCGATTGTTAGGACACAGCTGGCCCTCTCCCTGCAGCCCAGGTTGAAGCCCCTGATCCTCAGCTCAAGGATGCTTCCGGCTACCCAAACTGACCTGAGCCCCTCCCTTGGCTTCCGCGAAGTGGAGCTCACCCTTCCAAGTCAGAATGACTTTCCAATGCTATTTCCTGACCTAGTATCATCTTTCTGCCCTAAGAAGGTAAATATAACTCAGTTGCCATTTGATCCCCAAATATTACTTTATAAACACATGAGAAACACAGAGGAAGAAGCCTTTAGCCACCGTGAGGGACAGGAGCTGTGATATCCACGCCCCCCCCCCCAATTCCCCAGGCATTTCAGTTTTAAGAAATGAGGATATCATGTCACCTGTATCCCACTTCGAACCCAGAACCTTTTCTGCTACTGTTGGGGATCATGGGTGGGGGCCCACCACTGTGGTGCTCATGGCCCAGGGACCGTCCCTGGCAGTGCTGCAAAGGGGATGTGCCCTGCAGCTCTGCCATTCCCATGCAGCCACCCCCAGACCCTTCAGCTACAAACCCACGCCCCCTCAGCCACACCCAGGCCCTCTCAGCCACACCTAGCCCCCCTCAGTCACATACCCAGTCACCAAAGCAAGAATTTTTGATGAATTCTCTACATAACTATCCTGCAGCAAGACTCTCCAAAATACCCAACAAACAAAACAGAGCAGGGAAAAAAAAGACAAGAACATTTAAACAAATAAACTTGTACCTTTACTACATATCCATAAGCAAAAATGGGATATATTTAACTAAAGAACATAACTCATCACAGCAGTAATAGGTAGGCTTTTATATAAATAATATATTACTTTTATTAAAAAGGCATTGAAGATTAAATACCCAAGTAAAATCTTACTTTAGGAATAAAGGAAAGTCATAGAGCCAAAGATGGGAGGGCCTTGCCGTGCAAGTGGCATACTCAGAGTCGATCCTTGTCATCAAATGTGGTCCTGACCTACCAGGAGCGAGGCCTGAGCACAACACTGTGAGTCAGCTCTGAGCACTGCCAAGGATGGCCCCAAAAGAAAAACAAAACAAAACAAAAAGCAATAACATGGTAGATATTTAAGAGAGCAGTAGAAAGTGTGGACAGACACACTTGTGTGCTATGTTTTAAAATATCAGAGAAAATTCAAGAAAAGGGGGTTGAGGAAGCCAACAGAGAAATGACAGGGCATTAGAGTATTTAAAAGTCAAAAGATAATGACATTTAGGGCAGTAAATTACTTGATTTGCTCCTTAACCTATTTCTCAGGGGAGAACCAATGGCCCTTAGGGAAGTTTGCTTAGGCATGAGTGAGGCTGCACAGAGCTGAGAGTAGGTGTGTGCCCTAAGCGGGCCTGGCAGTAGGCTTCATGAGGACCAATGCTGTCCTGCCCGACTCACCGAGAGCCCCCGGAGTGCAGACAGGCTGACCGCTGCTCTCCTGCCCGGCTCACGAGAGACCCTCGCAGTGCAGTCAGGCTGACCACAGCTACTACCGAGGCTGGCAGGGAAACTCAGTAAACACAAGTCTATGCACAAGACAAAAACACATCACTTTAGAAGGATCCATAAAGGGAGGGTCCAGGCCCTCCAAAAGAAAGAAGGGGAAAGAAACATGACAATTCTGAGACAGCTTAGGTTCATCTGTTCAGAAATTATAAGCAACATTTATCCAAGTAGCCACAGTCCAGCTGAATGAAGACACATTATTTGCTTAATAAAAGCTGAAATAAAGGGAGCAGGAAAGTCTCCACAGTCACATTTCTGAGTCCATGATGTGCTTGGAGCAATGTCCACAGGGAAAAGTGAGAGCATGAAAGCCACTCACTGTGTTTAAAATGCTGAGCGGATTAGAGACAGAAAAAAATGACGGCACACAGACTCTTCAGAGAGAACAGGGCTGATCTTTCAAGAAAGAGTCCATAGAACCATCAAGAGGAGGTCCTTCCCTGGAGCGCTGTGTGGCTGACAGCCCTTCACACAAAACACAATCTCTGACTAATGGAGCCAAGAGCCTCTAAATGCCAGCAGCTCTCTGGAGGGTCACAGATCAGTGCCCTGCTGTAATGAACACAGCACACTGGACATGAACCTCAACCGTGCTGCTGCCCAGTATCTCAGTCACTGCCGCCTCCAGGCTGGGGAATGAGGGTGCTGCTCTGAGAACACAGACAGGGGGATCTGGGCACCCCAGCCCGGGGCAGGGGCACAAGCACCCACCTCCCACCAGGCACAGGCACTCTCTCTGTCTCTCTCTCTCTGACTCTCTCTCTCTCTCTCTGACTCACTGTCTCTCCTTCCTTCCTTCCTTCCTTCCTTTCTTTCTTTCTTTCTTTCTTTCTTTCTTTCTTTCTTGCACAGGCATTTTTTATAGCAATTGTTAATTTTATTATTTATTCATTTATTTTTTAGATTTTTATTAGTGAAACACCATGAGGTACAGTTGCAGATTTACAAAGTTTTGTGCTTGGGTTTCAGTTATACAATGATCAAATACCCATACCCCCACCAGTGTCCATTCTTCACCACCACTGATCCCAGTATCCCTCCCACCTCTCATTCCCCCCCATCCCACCCTGCCTCTGTGGCAGGGCATTCCCCTTTGTTCTCTGTCTCCTTTTGGGTACTGTGGTTTCAAAAGAGGCACTGAGTGGCAATCATGTTCGGTCTAAAGTCTATTCTCAGCACACATCTCCCATCCTGGAAGGATCCTCCCAACACCCTTTATTTGGTCCTCCCTTCTCTATCTGAGCTGGCTTTTCCCCTAGAGATCTGAGCTGGCTTTTCCCCTTATCATCTGAGCTGCCTTTTCCCCTAGCGTGCACAGACATTTTTATGCAGACTTTGGCTTACAGACTATTTTCATCAAATTGTCAAAGTGAACATAACTACTGACAAGGAAACAGCAGACCAGTTGGAAGCATGTTTTTTGAGTAAACTCACCATTTTATTGGTGAAGGTGCGATAATTTTAGTTGCTCCTTCATTTTCTCCATTTTCCATGTTTGCAGATACCCGACTGATGCTGTTTGACCCTAGCAGCAAAGGAGAGATGAAAAGATGGTAACAAGGAGAAAGTGATCAAGAAACACCAAAAAAAGCAAAAAATTCATTTTAGAGTGCAATTTGGGATATAATAATTATATCAATAACTTATAATTTAAAAGTTAGTAGAATAATCTATCTGATGCATTGTTTTATGAGTATTAAACCCTCAACATAACAAAAGCCTTGGGCATCTTGACTTCAAGAAATGGAGTCTTTCCTTAAGCCCCTAAACTTTAACAGTCTCTCCATCCTGCAGTGTCTGACTCCCACTATTAAGGCAAGATTATAAAATACAGAACATTATAGCTAAGAATATAGATGTGAAGATGCAAATCAGCTCTTCACAACAACTAAATAATAACTGTTGGCAGCCCTAACGGCCCTCATTCTAATCAAGCCAGGTTTTACATATGTATTTCAAACACAAAATAATATCTGAATTCATGATGCAAATGGCAATCGAAAAATAATAACGGACTTTATCTATATAACTCCAAAATAAATTCCAAAACAATTTTAATGTGTTTTTAAAAAGATGACCAGGACAGGGCATGGTCCTCGGTGCTTCAGGGGCGTTTGTGGAGGTGCTCAGGGGACGGCACACAGTCCAAGGGCTAGGCCCAGCCGCCTGCACCCACAGCAGTGCTGTACCTGCTGCATGAGCCCTCTGTTTCCTTTCATGTGTTTTTTTTGTATTTTTTAAATGAAAACGTCTCCTGAAAGTGTAAAATTCATCCTTTTGAATTTGAATTTTAATTTTAATTAAAATTCATCCTGTTGAGATCCGTAGGCGTGTGAGATCGGCCAGCAGAGGGCGCACCCAGAAGGCCAACTGCGGAAAGGCTGATCCCACAAAGGGGAGTGTGGGTGCATCCAGCACGCCCCCAGGGGCGGCCACGGGAACGGAGTTAAGAATCTGCCTGAGGACCAGGCACCTCCTCCTGGAAGGTGGGGGTCATAGCAGACGGGGACCTGCCGTGTGTGAGCCTTCGGAGTACAGCGTAGCCAGCAGGAGCCCCTGCAGCAGCCTATGAACCAGAGCTCAGGCTCAGTGAGCTCCTCACTACGATCTACTGTGCAATTCTCAAACGACTGCAATTATTCCCTATGCGAAGACTGGGAAAGAGTCTTTTGCAGAGCCCTGCAGCTCAGGAGTGGCGGGTGGGGCAGCTGAGAAAGACAGTCTTCAGACAAGACACAGCCCCAGGGACTGCTCCAGCACTGTGCGGTTCTGAAAGAAAGCATGGGACTTGAGCAGGACGAACGAAGGCGGGGAACGGGACTAAGAAAGAGGAACTGGGCCCCAGGCTGCTTAGTAGTTTGTTTCTCTCTCCTCCCCAACAAAATTCAATCTCTGCCCTTAGGGCATAGTAGTTTCTCCTCCTTTCTCCCCAGCGAAGTTTGACCTCTTCCCTTGCAGTATAATAATCTCTCCTCTTTCCCCCACCAGTGGTCATAGTCCGTAGTCGTAGTTATCATAGTCCTGATCTGTAGTCATCACTGTTGTCATAGTACCCCCTTACAGGAAGTAATACAGCAATCATGAAGGGTGGGGCACACTAGGTGGGGTTGAACATTGTCATAACAACAAACAGAGGTAAAGCTACTCCTTCAGGGGAAGTTCTAGGAGATTAAATCAAGGACAAAATCTCATCTGAGGTTTCAGCACTTTAGATTACCAGAAGATCCATTCAAGGGCTGGATTCCATCCAGGGTGTATTACTTTCTCCTTTCCTCAGTTAGTAATCCATTTAAACAATCATAGTAAATTTACTTCTTATAATATTTCTAGTCATTTTATATGGACACAGTAAGAGATATAGTAAGCTAAGAGGTTGGCTCTTCCTGGGGACATCTCGCTATATATCCCAGACCATAGTTCTCAGACCAGGTTAGTCTGGTTAGTTTTTCCTAACCCCAGCAGGGTTCTAATTCAGTTGCTTCTTTTTGGATCATGACAGTTTGTCCCATGACCATGCTCTTAACTTATACTAAGGTGCTTAGCTTGTTCTCTTTCGATGCCAGGGTAGCTCACAGCTTGTCCTGGGTCCATCCTGGTCCCTCGCTGGGACCCTCCTTTTGGGGATGTTAGGAAGTAAGGGCAAACTGAGGCTTAAGTCAAGTAAATATGGATGTCCAGGAGTAATTATTATTTTTGGGTAAATTAACTCCCATGTTACAAAGCATAGCATGAACTGTTTTCCTGTGTCTATACAAAAGGACACTGCTAAATAAGCCATGAAAATGAGGAAGGACAAAAGGACAAGGAAATTTCCATAAAGGAAAGAGAAAAGCAATATAAGATTATTAGTGCCTGATGGAATTGGGTGTGCTTCAGGAGCACTATTGTGGGAGTAACTCAATGAACCTAAGCTCCCTATAGGAAAAGCAAGGACAAACTAATGTTATCCAACAAGCACCATCCCCTGATGACCACACAGCCCCAGGGACCTCACCAGCTCCACCCCCTGATGCTCACACAGCACCATGATTTGCACCAGCCCCATCTCCCATGGGCCCTCAAACAATTCCTATAAGGAGATAAGCGAGAAAGGTATCTAATCATAAGAGAACTCTCTCTCTCTCTCTCTCTCTCTCTCTCTCTCTCTCTCTCTCTCTCTCTCTGGCAACAGAGAGGCAGGTCAAGAGAAAACACTTGAGTATCCCAAAAGCTGGCATGTGTGGTGACTCCCTGGGAAAGATGAGGGCACCCAGTAGACAGAGAAAGCAAGCAGCAATCTGACATGTGTTCCATGTGTGGCTTGTGTTCCTACTTTGGAACCCAGACTTGGAAAGGTGAGCCTAAAGACACATACATGGCATCACAGATCCCCATGCATCCCCTATTCTCCCTGGTCCCCACGCGTCCGCTGCTTGCTGACTGTCCACTGCATAAGTCTGGCTTGGAGTGTGCTTCCTCACATACTGGCGCCCGTAGACGTCCACACATATCTCTAAATTGTCTTTCCTATTCATTGATGCGAGTCCTGAAAAAGCCTAAGTGGCCATTCCTATTAGTTTCCTTTTGTGTTAAACACACGCCTAAAAGTAGTAATTATACTTTCAAAACACTACATTTTAACCATCTTTCTGATTAGGTCAAATTAGTGAGATTTTGGGGCTGGAGCAATAGCACAGTGGGTAGGGTGTTTGCCTTGCATGCAGCCGACCCAGGTTCGATTCCCAGCATCCCATATGGTCCCCTGAGCACCGCCAGGAGTAATTCCTGAGTGCATGAGCCAGGAGAAACCCTGTGCAAAGCTGGGTATGACCCAAAGAGCAAAAAAAAAAAAATAATGAGATTTTAATCATATAGTGTTGAGAGGAATGCTAAGCGACTTAGCAAAGCTAGTGTGTGTTGGTTTCTAAGATCTGTAAAGGGGGCTGGAGTGACAGCACAGCTGGCAGGGTGCTCACCTTGCATGCGTTCACCCTGGTTTGATCCCTGATACTTCATATTGTTCCCTGACCTCACTAGGAGTAATCCTTCAGCACAGAGCCAGGAGTCATTCCTGAGCACCGCCATGTGTAGCCCCAAACTAAAAAAAACACAAACCAAAACAAAAATGGAATCTGCCAAGGTAACAAATATAAGCTATGGATTATCAAGGTTTCTAACTTTCTATCTTGCTGAAATGGAATATTATTAGTTTCCTTTTCTAAACTTTTCGTCATTCATCACTCACTTTCCAGAATCATTCCTTCTACATTAGCTAGTTTCTTGGGCTATACTGAAGAGTTCATCTGAAAACCCTTTCCAAAGAACTTTCTCTGACCATATAATAGTTCTATTTTAGAGAGGAAAATGAGAAGTCAACATAAAATTAAAATAACAACTGATAACAATGAAACTTCAGGCACTGTTCCAAGGTTATATTTAATTTTGGAGAAATCTTAATTCCTTTCACTATTACAGAAAATAATATGAGCTAGATATATATGATTAATTAAATAATTAAAATAAATGGTTATTTAACCCTAATGTACTTCAAGAAATCAAACTTTCTTTTTGGCAGGGGGCGAGGTGCACATTTAGCTGTGCTCAGGTCTTATTCCTGGCTCTGTGCTGGGGATCACCCTCCTGAAGGGGAGTGGGGACCATATCTGGTACTGGGAATCAAATCTAGGTTTGCTGTGCAAGTCAAGCACCTTGCCCACTGTACTAGTGATCCAGCACACACACAAGAAAGGAAATATTAAGAGTAATTTTTTACACCATATAAATCACTCCATTTGAGGCAAATCTTTTCAGATCAAGATGTTTTCCATCTAATTTTCCTAGAAATAAGACAGAAAAAATGGTAAATTATCTAACAAAGGACTTGTACCCATAATATATAAAGAATAGAACTGGCCCATAACACTGTTCTTCTGTTCATCGATTTGCTTAAGTGGGTACCAGTAATGTCTCCATTGTGAGACTTGTTGTTACTGTTTTTGGCATATAGAATAGGCCACGGGGAGCTTGCCAGGCTCTGCCTTGTGGATGAGATATTCTCGGTAGCTTGCCTGGCTCTCCAAGTAGGACAGAGGAATCAAACCTGGGTCAGCCGCGTGCAAAACAAACACTCTCCCTGCTGTGCTATCGCTCTATCCCATATAAAGAATATAAAGAACTGTAGCACTGTAGCACTGTACTCCTGTTGTTCATCGATTTGCTTGAACAGGCCCAGTAACATTGTGAGACTTGTTGCTACTGTTTTTGGCATATCGAAATATGTCACGGGTAGCTTGCCAGGCTTTGCCATGCAGGTGAGATACTCTTGGTAGCTTGCCGGGCTCTCTGAGAGGGGTGGAGAAATTGAACTCTGGTTGGCGGTGTTGGCTCCGTGCAAAGCAAACACCACACACGCTGTGCTATCACAAGAACACTTCACTAAAAATACTACAAAATAAACAATGTATATGAAATGCTATTTCTCCAAGGGTGAAATAAGTCAGGAGTAAGCCCTGAGGACACCAAACCTCCCTCCCACA